GAGTTTCTTTTCTTATAGATCATATGAATTTCTTCTAATTTAGACAGGAATTGGATTTAAAAAAAAAAACATAGAAAATACAAATCCCTGGATTTGGAGACGTAGCTCAGTGGCAGAACACTTGCCTAGCATTCACAAGCCCCTGGGTTCAATCCTCAGCCCTGGGAAGAAAAAGAAGCAGCAGCAATTATAAGTCCTTTCTAAGCCTCCAGTTTATTGCCTGACACATAATGATACTCAATAAATTATTTTTTCAACTCTTTTTGTAATTCTGGAATTATTTAAAAAATTTAAAGTTAAAAATCAGGCCACAAAGCAACTCTTAGCAAATACACACACAAAAAGGTATAATTCCTTGCATCTTATCAGATTGCATGAAATTAGAAATCAAAATGACAAGACCCTATAGAAATTATAAAAACACATGAAGATTGAAAAATACACTTTTGAATGATGAATGGGTGAATCAGGGAAGAAATTAATTTTTTTTTTGCTCAAATGAGAACAGTTAAAAAAACATATCAGAACATCTGGGACATTATAAAGACAGTTCTAAGAGGAAAGTTTATAGTTATGAGTGCCTACACTAGAAAATCAGAAAGATCCCAAATACACAACCAATGGTGAATCTCAAGTCCCTTGAAAAAAAGAACAACAAACCAATCCCAAAACCAGTGGAAGGAAAGAAATAAGATCAGAGCTGAAATCAATGAACTTGAAAATTAAAAAAATAATAATACAAAGAATCAGTGAAACAAAGTTGGTTCTTTGAAAAGATAAACAAGATCTATAAGCCCTTAGCCAAACTAACCAAAAGAAAAGGAGAGAAATTCCAAGTTAATAAAATTAGAGGAGAGGAAAGGAGAAAATACTACAGACATCACAGAAACCCAGAGCTCATTAGGGACTATTTTGAAAATTTATAGTCCAATAAATTGGAAAATCTAGAAGAAATGGATACATTTCTAGACACATATAATCTAACAAAATTGAATCAAGAGGACAGAGGAAACAAACAGACCAATAACTTGTAATAAGACAGAAGCAGTAAAAAAAAAAAAAAAAAAAAAAAAAAAAAGCCTCCCTACAAAGAAAAGCCCAGGACCAGATGGATTCTCAGTCAAATTCTACCAGACATTTAAAGAACTAATGTCAATATTCCTCAAATTATTCCATGAAGTAGAAAGGGAAAGAACACTTCCAAATTCATTCTATGAAATCAATATCATACTCATACTAAAACTAGATAAGGATGCATTAAGGAATGAGAACTACAGACCAATATCCTGGATGAACTTAGGTACAAAAAGTCTTAATAAAATATTAGTGTTCAACAAAATATTATGAAGATTGTACATCATGAATAAAACATTGGTTTTATTCCAGAGATACAAGGATGGTTTAACATTCAAATCAATAAATGTAATTCAGCACCCATGCATGATAAAAACACTGAAGAAATTAGGGATAGAAGGAAGCTACCTCAACACTATTTATGAAAAACCAAAGCCAATCTCATAATAAATGGGGAAAAACTGAAAGCATTTCCTTTAAAATCTGGAACAAGACAAGGATGCCCACTCTCACCCCTCCTATTTATTATAGTGCTAGATATTTTAGCCAGCACCATTAGGCAAAAGAAGGGAATTTAAAAAGGAATAAAAATAGCAAAGGAAGAAGACAAACTGTCACTGCAGTTAATGATCCTATATTTAGAATGTCCAAAAAAACCCTATTTTATTCACAATAGTCTCAAAAACAAAAAACCGTAGGAATAAATCTAGAAGGCTAAAGACTTCTACGATGAAAACTACAGAACACTGAAGAAAGAAATTGAAGAAGACCTCATAAGATGGAAAGACCTCCCATGTTCATGTATAGGCATAATTAATATTATTAAAATGGCCACACTACCAAAGGCAATATACAGATTCAAAGCAATCCCCATCAAAATACCAATGACTTAGAAAAAACAGTCCTAAAATTCATTTGGAAGAATAAAAGATCCAAAATAGACAAAGAAATCCTAAGACAAAAAAGCAATGCTGGAGGTATCAAAATACCTGCCTTCAAATTATACTATAGTAACAAAAACTACATGATTCTGACATAGAAACAACACATATACCAGTGGTACAGAATAGAAGACACAAAGACAAACCCACAGAGATATAGTCATCCGATCCTTGACAAAGGAGCCAAAAAATGTACATTAAAGAAAAAGCAGCCTTTTAAATGGTGCTGGGAAAATTGGTTATCTACATGTACAATAAGGAAACTAGACCTTTATCTCTCATCTGTACAAAAATCAACTCAAAATGGATGAAGAACCTAGGAATTAGACCAGAAACTAGGCAACTCCTAGAAGAAAATGTAAAGCCAATGCTTCCAACATATAGGCACAAGTAATGACTATCTCAATAGGACCCCTAAAGCTCAGGARATAATGTGAAGATTTAATATATGGGATGTTATCAAATTGAAAAAAAAAAACCTTCTGCATAGCAAAGGAAACAATTAGGAATGAGAACCTACAGAATGGGAGAAAATCTTTGTTAACTATTCTTCTATTATGGTTTAGGTATTAGGTCTCTCCCAAAAGCTCATACATGAGACAATTCAAGAAAGTTCAGGAGTGAAATGATCAGGTTATGAGAGCCTTAACCTAAACTGGGTTAATATTAACTGGGTGGTAACTGTAGACAGGTAGAGTCTGGTTGAAGGAGGAGGGTCATGGGGGGCATATTTTGTGGTATATATTTGTCCCTGGTCTGCAGTGTCTCTCTTTACTTCCTGGTAGCCATGTCCTGAGCCACTTTCCTACACGTTCTTCTGCCATGATGTTCTGCCACCCATTAGGCCCAGAGAAATGGAGCTGGCTGTCTATGGACTGAGACCTGTGAAGTTGTGAACCCCCAAATTAAGTTTTCCTCCTCTAAAATTGTTCTTCGCAGATTTTTTTTTTTTTTTTTTTGGTTATAGTGGCAACAAAGCTGACTAAAACATCTTCTGATAGAGGATTAATGTTTAAAATATGTAAGAACTAAAAAAACTTATCACTAAAAAAAAATCCAATTAAATGGACAAACAAACTAAACAGATGCTTTGTAAAAGAAGAAATTCAATGACCTACAAATATATGAAAAAATGTTCATCATTAGCAATTAGGGAAATGCAAATAAAAACTACACTGAGATTTCATCTCACACCAGTCATCAAGAATATAAGCAGGGGGCTGGGGATGTGGCTTAAGCCGTAGCACGCTCGCCTGGGTTCGATCCTCAGCACCACATACCAACAAAGATGTTGTGTCCGCCAAGAACTAAAAAATAAATATTAAAAAATTCTCTCTCTCTCTCTCTTTAAAAAAATAAAAGAATATAAACAGGGCTAGGGTTGTGGCTCAGTGGCAGAGAGCTTGCCTAGTACATGTGAGGCACTGGGTTCAGTCCTCAGCAGCACATAAAAATAAATAAAATAAAGGTATTGTGTCCAATTACAGCTAAAAATTTTTAAAAATAAAGGCATTGTGTCTCTCTACAACTAAAAATTATTAAAAAATATAAAGAGTAGTGAATGCTAGAGAGGATGGGGAGAAAAAAAGAACACCTTTAAACTGTTGGTGAGATTGAAAATTAGTATAGCCACTGTGGAAATCAGTATGGAGGTGCCTCAAAAGACTAGGCTTGGAACCACATTATGACCTGCAATACCACTCCTCAGTATTTATCCTAAAGAACTGAAGTCAGCATACTACAGTGACACATGCACAATTCACAATAGCCAAACTATGGAACCAGCCTAGGTGACCATCAACAGATGAATGGATAAAGAAAATGTGACACATATACACAATGCAGTTTTATTCAGCCATAAAGACAGTGAAATTATGTCATTGGCAGAAAAATAGATAAAACTTGAGAACATATGTTAAGGGAAATAAGTCAAACCCAGAAGGTCAAAAATCATGTGTTTTCTCTCATAAGTGGAAGCCACAGAGGAAAATGGAGAAGAGAAGAGAGGCAGGGATCTCATGAAAATCAAAGGAAAATCAGTAGAGTAGAAGCTAGGAACCAAGAGGTGGGAAGAGTGGAGAGAAAAATAAATGAATAAATTAATTTTTTTTTAACGTGGAAGAAAAAGTTTAAAAATACACATTTAAAAATTAAGTAAAATAGGATAAACAGAAAATGTGGAAAGAACAGGAAAATAAGTAAGGAGAAAATGAGTTCCATGAGGGCAGAGCTTCTACCTGTTCTGGTGTCCACTGACCCCTGCTCACGGGACAATGCCCGTGAACTCAGGCTGTTGTGGGGAGGCAGTGACAAACGAGGGCCAACTGAAGAGAAGACAGTAGGCACACTGGCCCATCTCACATTCACGAAAATCTCGGATTTTAACCTTTGTTTTTCTCCAAAAGAAGTGACACTGTCAGTGTATTTTGTGTGCTGAATGAATTCCTTGCATGCAAGCATTTAGAATACATTGCCATTTTTTTTTTTGAGCCTGAATCTTTTATTTTGTGAGACAGAATTCACAAAATTCATCCTTTTAAAGTACGATCAAATGTCTTTTAGCATATTCACACAGTCCTGCAAACCATCGCTCGGGTCTGATTACAAAACGTGTTGGTCACTCTTAAAAAGAACCCCAAGCCCCGGTAGCAGTCCCTTTTTGTTCTCACATGGCCCAGCCCTGACCACGACTAATCTACCTTCTGTCAGTCTGGATTTGCCTATTCTGGAGATTTCATGCAAATGGACTCTAGCACTGCGCGGACCAGGCGCTTTCCAAATGCTCAGCCCCCACGATGGCCAGCGTCCTCGGGATTGGACGCGCGGGCTGGGCGTGCGCGGGGCGCCCAATCGCTCTTGAGCATCCGGAGGAGGCAGGTGGAGGTGGAGGTGGAGGTGGAGGTGGAGGTGGAGGTGCTGAGCTCGCGGGCGGCGGGCGGCCGAGGCGGTGCAGTAAGGCGGCTGGGCGGGTGCCCAGGCACCAGCATGGCTGGATGGTGGCGGGCACTGCCGCGCGCGGCCCAGCGCTACCCGTGGCCCACCAACGTCCTGCTCTACGCCGGGCTCTTCTCGGCCGGCGACGCGCTCCAGCAGCGGCTGCGGGGCGGCCCGGCAGACTGGCGCCAGACGCGGCGTGTGGCCACCCTGGCCGTGACCTTCCACGCCAACTTCAACTACGTGTGGCTGCGCGTGCTGGAGCGCGCGCTGCCCGGCCGTGCGCCGCGCGTGGTCCTGACCAAGGTGCTGTGCGACCAGCTGTTCGGAGGGCCCATCGCCCTCTCGGCCTTCTATGTCGGTGAGGGGCCAGGGCAGGGTCCAGGGGACCCGGGTACTAGCGGGCCTGAGTGCAGAGATTAGGGTACTGGAGGCCCAAAAGGAGGTTAAAGGACTGAGGGGGCGGAGGATCCTCKCGCACTGTTGCAGGGACGGAGCACTGAGGCAGAAGCAGGGAGCTCTGGAGGTGGGGACCAGGTTTGAAAGCCCTGGGGTGGGGACTGGAGGCTGGGAACCCGGGCTGAGGTGCCTGGGACTGGAAGTTGAGGTTTCTCAGAGAGAGGAATTAGGGAAGCCTGGGAGCTGGGGAGTCCGGTGGGCCAGGGATCAGAGCAGAGGCGATTTGGACAGAGTTCAAGAGTGGACATAGGTAGGGTTTGGGGTCCTTTCCCTAAACCCCAGCTTGACTCTGTAGCAACTGCACTCCTTGGAGGCATCCTGCTGCTGGAAAATTCATGCTCTGGGTCCAACACACCATCAAAGTGCTAGGGGACTCAGAACTGTGGGGAGCAGAGCAGGTGGAACCTGTCGCTGGGCCTAGTTGCCCGGAAAATCCACGCCCAGGGTTCTAGTCCTGCTTTGGTAACAAGATTTTCCATGGGGGTCTCACTCAGAATTTGAGGGGACTCTATACCTGCAAGGAAGCCTTCTCTTCAGAAAATGTGTCAGCAGGTGGAAGGTCTGACTTTGGCAACCCTTGCCCGACCACCAAGAAATACAGAAGGGGTGGGTGGGTAGCTTTCCAACATCCTAGCAACTTATGWAGCCTCGATCCGGGCAGGTAACTGGGGAGGGACACTCATTTCTGAAGAAAATCTCTACAGTTTGCAAYCTAACCTTGGCACTGGGAGTCACAAATTCCCTCCCAAATTGGGAGGGGACCTCTCTCAGTGGCTCAGTGACTCTTAAAACTGGTTGAGAGCAGGGAGCCACCAACTTGACGAAACATCCCTGCCCCAAGATCTTATTTAGGGAGGCCAACAGTAAAAATAGAACATAATCTTCTTTSGAATACCAGATAAATTGTAGCCCAGCTTGGTGGCCACAGTCCCTACAGACSGTACAGGAATCATCAAAGACCTGGTTGCCTGTTGAAGTCTCAGCTCACCTCTGGCCGATGATGGGGTCAGTGCGATGGGGAGACTAGACAGCCTGAGAGCAGGGGCCTCCTGATTTTATTGGAAGATCTGTGCCTGGTCCCACAGTGGGCCTTCCCAACCAAGTTTGCAAATAGGTTCCTGTGCCTGTTAGTACAGTGGCCTTACACTGGTGAAGGGGTCAGGATTTGATTAATCTTCAACCAGTGAAGCAGGTACTCTCCTTATTCTCATCTTACAAATAGTGATTCACCACAAAGACCACATCTTTGGGCTGACAATCATGTTCTCGATCTTGAGACCCCGATGGTGAGCTGTTGTCTGTCTGAGGTCAGAAAAAGCTAAGTCTCAGTGGTTTTGGTCTTTTGTGATCGAGGCCTGAGGGCCCTGGTAGAGACTCCTGCTCAGATTGCTGCTTGGCTTTGGTTTTTGATTTCTCCTCCATTTTCCCTCTCTTCATGTTACAACAAAGAGGGAAGGCAGGCTGGGTGAGTTGGATGCTTGTTGAAGGTGTTACTTGGAAATTGCCTAAGTCTGATGATGTTTTGTGCCAGGACCACCTTGGGGAGGCAGAGTACTGACGGTTTTGAGGTCTGGCTTGGAATTGGACAGCTAGGTTGGACTCCACTGTTATTAGCCTCCCTAATCTTTTTTCCTTCTTTTAGCCTCACCTACTTTGGAGAATTGTTAGGCGGGTCAGGTGAAATGGTACACAGGAAGTGCATAGCATTAACTAATGCTGGGCAAGTGGAACACAGTATTACCAATATTTTTTTTTTTTTGCTGGGTTTTCTTTTGATTCTTGTTCTAAGAATCTCCTGCAATTGACTAACAAGTCTGATTTCCCCTCCTTGGTAATCAGGGTTGGGGGAGAATTTTTAAATCACACTGATTTTTATACCCTTCCTAAGAGAGTCTTCCCATCCCCAAATTTCTTTCCAGGGATGATGAAGTAGTTTTCAGGAAGGTTAAATTGATACCCTGCATTTAAACTCTGATTAGAATAATACTGATGGGAAATTTGTAGTTGCTAGAATATCCAGAGTCTACCAGCCTTTTTAAAATGAATAACATTAGGGTAGTGATGTAGCTCAGTGGTAGAGCATGTGTTTAGCATGCATTAAAAAAAAAGAAAAAAAAAGGAGGAGCTGGGGTTGTGGCTCAGTGGTAGTGCGCTTGCCTAGCATGCGTGAGGCACTGGGTCTGATTCTCAGAACTGCATACAAATAAATAAAATAAAATTCCATTGACAACTAAAAAATATTTTTTTTAAAAAAAGAAATTTAAAAATATTCAGCATTTCACAAATTGTTTGAAAACCTCACTGACAGGTTCATTATACTAATGCTACTTTGTATGTGTGTGTGGATTCTTACCATTTTTYTTTATTGAAAAAAATATTTGTTCTGCTATAAACTGTTATTCTAACTTTGTATTTGCCATTACTTTAAAATTTATCTAGTTTTTTATTTTTATTTTTTTTTGTACATGGGATTGAACCTGGGGCCTAAAACATATTGGGTAATCCTTGAGCTAATCCCCACACCTTTTTATTTCAAGACAGGATCTTGCTAAATTGCCCAGGCTGGCCTCAAACTTGAGATCCTCCTGCCTCAGGCTCCCTAGTGGCTGGTAGTATAGGAGTGTGCCACGGGGCTGGGCCACCATTTATCTAGTTTTGAAATGAAGATTATGTTCTGTTTTCACTGTTGGATCAAAAGGAATATATTGAGTGAGTGATTATGGCTGGTTACTTTGAATATGGGAATGGAAAACTTGAATAAGAACTGTTATACAGTAATATTTTACCTGGATCTGTAAAAAAAAAAAATTAAAAAAAATTTTTTTTGTACCATGGGTTGAACTCAGGGGCACTCAAACACTGAGCCACATCCCAGCCCTATTTTGTATTTTATTTAGAGACAGGGTCTCACTGAGTTGCTTAGTGCCTCACTTTTGCTGAGGCTGGCTTTGAACTTGGGCTTCTCTGCACCTGGCTAAAAAAAAAAAATGTTTTTTTCCAGTGCTGGGGATCACAGCCAGGTCCTTGTACACAGTAGTCCAGAAATATTCCATTCAGGATTGGGGCAGAATTTTTAAATTACACTGATTTTTATACCCTTCCTAAGAGAGTCCCTCCATCCCCAAATTTCTTTCCAGGAATGATGAAGTAGTTTTCAGGAAGGCTAAATTGATACCCTACATTTAAATTTTGATTGCAATAATACTGAGGTACACCCCATCCCTAAAATTCTTTCTGTGTGTGCTTTTGTACATAGGTATGAGCATTCTTCAGGAAAAGGATGACGTACTTTTGGACCTGAAACAGAAATTTTGGAACACGTATAAGGTAAGATTTTGAAATTGTATTTGCAGATTTTTAACATTAAGTACGTTTTAGTGAAACTATTTTTAAATTAGGGTTCCAATTTGATTGGTCCAGTATCTCTATCAACATTTTGACAGAAGTCTTGAATTTCTTTTTTTCTTTCTCTTTTTTTCCCCAGGACTAAAGATTTTGAACCCAGGCCCTTGTGTATGCTAGGCAAGTGCTCTTCTGCTGAGCTACGTCCCCAGCCCTTTTGATTTTTTACTGGGAAACTAGATCTCTCTAAGTTGCTGAGGATAGCCTCAAACTTATGATCCCCCTGCCTCAGCCTCCCTAGTCGCTGGGATTAAGGCATGCATTAAATATTTTCAAATTGTTGTTTATATTTTATTCTTTCTTTCTTTATCTTTTTGTGGTGCTGGGGATCAAACCTAGGACCTTGTGCATGTGAGGCAATATATCCCCAGCCCTATGTTTTATTTTCCTTCCTTCCTTCCTTCCTTCCTTCCTTCCTTCCTTCCTTCCTTCCTTCCTTCCTTCCTTCCTTCCTTCCTTCCTTCCTGCAATGGGGTCTGGCTGTGTTGCTCCAGCTGGTCTCAGACTCCTGGACTCAAGTGATCCTCCTGTTAGCTGGGACTACAGCCGTGCACCACTGTACCTGATGGGAATTTGTTCTGACAGCTGACTGGAAAGAGACTTAGGGCTGTCTTTGCTTCTCATGGGTAGAAAAGAATCTCTTTATTTTACTCAACATTCATGATGATTGGGGGCTTTATAATATTTCTGCTTATGAGTGATCACAGTTTATTTTGTAAATTTCAGAGGCTAGCTGCAAAGTAGAAATTGGAGAATGTGAGTGGCTTTAATGAAATAGTTCCCACATTCAGAGCCAGTGTTTCCAGGTATGCCTTCTGCTGAGTCCTTGTGAAAAGAACCTTCTTAATGCCACAGAGGTATTTACAGAGAAGGATGATGTTTCCCAGGTTTCTCCCTAGGCTTGGAGCAAGTCTCCTGCTGTGCTGTTTGCTCAGTACAAATGCATACAATCCAGCCCCGCACACATTTCATTCATTTATTCAATAAAAAATCTGTTGAACACGATCCTAAGGCTTGGCAAAATCAGGGATATTTTTCATCTCTGGCCCAGAGCAGGTTTGATTCTATTAATAACAATGAGATAAAATTTCAGGATTCCAGAATGTATGCAGATGGGCCTCATGTTTCAGATGTATTTAGTTCTCCATCAAAAGCAGTGTCAAGGGGTGAGGGATGGAGCAGATTTCTGGCTGGAGCAATCGTATGTGTGGTGTGTCTTCATATGACATAGGACATGGAGGAAGGAGAGCCAATCAGAGAAAATAAGATAGGTTCAGTTTGGGAAATGTTGAATTTCAGATACTTTGGTCTATTGTGAGGTTTCTACTACACAGAAGAGAGTTCAGAGCTAGCGGTATTAGACATGGGAGAAATTGGCTGCAAACTGGGCTCTTTTTTTTTTTTTTTGAGAGAGTGAGAGAGGAGAGAGAGAGAATTTTTTTTTTTTTTTAAGAGAGAGTGAGAGAGGAGAGAGAGAGAGATAGAGAGAGAGAATTTTTAATATTTATTTTTTAGTTCTCGGCRGACACAACATCTTTGTTGGTATGTGGTGCTGAGGATCGAACCCGGGCCGCACGCATGCCAGGCGAGCGCACTACCGCTTGAGCCACATCCCCAGCCCCCAAAACTGGGCTCTTGATTCGAGTTTGACCAATGAAACTAATAGTACAAAGTGTTTGCAGTCAGAAGTATTCACAAAGAATCCGCCACAAAGGGCTATCTTGACTCCAAGTGGTAGTGTGAGTATTGGTTGTAAAGAAGCCACTTCTCTGCCCAATCCATGCTCTTTCTTTCTATATTTTTTGGTGCTGGGGACAAAACCCAGGGGTACTTTACCACTGAACCACATCCCCTGCTCTTTTTATTTTGGGACAGGGCCTTGCTAAGTTGCTGAGGCTGGTCTTGAACTTGTGATTCCCTGCCTCAGCCTCTCCCCTCATGGGGATAATAAAGGGGGATGCCACCACACCCCACTCCAGTCTGTGTTCTTTAGATGGAGGTGGGAAGGATGTGACTACTATATTTGTTGTTCATGTATAAGTAGTCCTTGAGCCTTTTGGTTTGTTTTTTCACTTTGTGCACAGAAGGCATGCAATTTCAGTCTCCTTTCACCAGCTGCAGTATTGGGGCTCAAATGTATTCTCTCTTAGAAGTCAATCTGAGCTGGGCGCAGTGGTGCACATCTGTAATCCCAGCAGCTTGGGAGCCTGAGGCAGGAGGATCAAGAATTCAAACCCAGCCTCAAAAGCAAGGTGCTAAACAACTCAGTGAGACCCTGTCTCCAAATAAAATACAAAATAGGGCTGGGGATGAGGCTCAGTGGTTGAGTGCCCCTGAGTTCAGTTGTTGGTACCAAAAACAAAACAAGTCAATTTGATATTACATTCTTCTCTTGCATAGTTTATAGTTTTTGTATAGTTGCTAAGTTGCTGAGGCTGAGACTTTGAACTTGTGATTCTCCTGCCTCACCCTCACCCATGCCTGCTGGGATTAGAGGCATGTACCTCCATGCCCTGTTGGCCACTGATTTTCTTTCTTTCTTTTTTGGTACGGGGGAGTGAATCCAGGAGCGCTCAACCACTGAGCCACACCCCCAGCCTTTTTTTGTATTTTTAAATTTAGAGACAGGGTCTCACTCACTGAGTTACTTAGGGCCTCACTAAGTTGCTGAGGTTGACTTTGAACTTGAGATCCTCCTCCAGAGCAGCTGGGATTACGGGCATGTACCACCACACCCATCTGCCACTGATTTTATTGACATAAAATGGTGCCATCAGTGCTCAAACTTTGGTCTCTAACATCATTCCTTATAAAAAAAAAGAATGAATGAGGACTCCTTAAAGAAATGACTGGTTCCAAGACTAGGGAAGGACAGGTACAAGGTACAAGGTATTAGTTAAGCCTGGAACATCTGTTATACCAGAATGTAAGGAAGTTTTGTTTTTTGTTTTTTTTAAATTTCGGATTGAACCCAGAAGTGCTTAACCACATCCCCATTCATCAGGGACATTTCCTATTTTCTGAGCCTTTTGGTTTTCAATCTATTATGACATTGCTATCTCTGAAGAATTCTTCAGGACTGCAGAATACAGGACTGTATTCTTCCCCAGCCCTTTTTATTTTGAGACAGGGTCTCACTAAGTTGCTGAGGCTGGCCCCAAACTTGGGATCCTCCTACCTCAGCCTCCCAAGTTGCTGGACTTACAGGCATGCATCACCTTACCTGTCAGGAAGTAGATTTTTCTTTTTTTTTTTTTTTAATGTTTATTTTTTAGTTGTAGTTAGACACAATATCTTTGTTTTATTTATTTATATGTGGTGCTGAGGATTGAACCCAGGGCCTCACACGTGCTAGGCGAGTGCTCTACCGCTGAGCCACAATCCCAGCCTCAGGAAGTAGATTTTTCAAAAAGAAAAAAAAGGTGCGGCACAGCACAAGGACGTAGGAGCCAGCTTGAAGGGCCTCCCACTGGCTAAATCTGGGGCACCTGAGCACCAAAAATAATGGAACAGAGTAATGGATTATAAAACATAGAAAGAAGTAGGAAATCCTGAGTCTATACGGATAATAAAGAGAGAAATACCTGGGAGAGCAGAACGCTGGCAGCAGCGGGTCAAATGGGGGACCACTGCTGGGGATGGAAGCTCACCATGTGGCAGCCCATCGCAGGACAGTGGGCCAGAGAGAATCAACTGGAGGCAGAGAATCCACCCACAGGGAGGAGGATATCCTGAAGGGGAGGGGCTCCTGTTTGAATGGTCTTCGGTGCCTCCCTACAGGTTACATTATTGCTACCCAGGAGAGTTTCAAGGGTAAAAGAAGGGCAACTGTACAGTGGCAAAACGACACCACGAGCAGTGATCAAAATGAGCATCTCTGATCAGTGGCAGGTGGGCATCATGCGCCTTCTGATGGGATACCTCGAGGACATGACACCACCCACATGCAGTGTTCCAGCCAGGAATTATAACCCAAATCTAATCATGAGGAAACACAGACAAACCTCCCCATATTAAAATATTTGTTTTTATTCTAAGAGAAGCAAGACTTTACTCTTCAGAGATAGCAATGTCATAATAGTTTTTTTTTTTTTTTTTTTAATGTCCCTAATCAATGGAACTAATGGGACACGGCAAGTACATGCAATTCTTCATCCTAAAGTAGATCACGTACCATAAGGAAAAGAAATGACATGAAGGGACTGGGGTTGTAGCTCAGTGGTAGATCACTTGCCTTGCATGTGTGAGGCACTGGGTTTGAATCTCAGTGCCACATAAAAATAAATAAACAAAGATATTGTGTCCCTGAAGGCCCTTACATGGCCAATTGGAAAAATGGGATATGGACTGCCACCCCCATCCAGTGCGGGCAGCTGAACTAAAGTCACTCGTGTGAATTCGGGGTGATGCAAAATACCACACAGACACAGAATACCTTTTATAAGCTTCAGGTTGGCTTTCTCTGGCTCCTGGCCTCAGGCTCCACAAAAGGGGGACAAGAGAAGTCACGAGAGAGAGAGAGAGAGAGAGAGAGAGAGAGCGAGCGAGGGAGCACACACTTTGGAAATGGGCTTTTATTTGGGGGGACACTGTTTCTTAGAACATTCTATCCAAAAAAGGTAGAAGGGGTAGGATTACAAAGGAACAGGTGAGTGTAACTTAACCCCAGTGGGTGACACTTACTCCTGGAACCACTCCTTGTTATCCGAGCTGGGGTAATGCCCAAGTTACTGTGACCTGGCACTACTGTGCCAGACTGAAAGCAATAATTCTCAGAATCCCGTACATCAGGACTTAAAGGCACCGTCATCCAGGGCGGCTCCCACAATGGACAATATATAAAGCATGGTCATTGGTAACTTTATTGAAATTGATAACTATATAACCTATAGAATTGTGGTGATATAAAAGAACATCCTAATTCTAAGGAAATAGATACTTAAGTATCCAGGGGTAAGGGGCAATTCTGTGTATAGCGTCCTCTCAGATGATCCACAAAACCATATCAGACAGATGCATGCATGCAAGTAGCCTGGAGAGGGGCGTGCATGGGCGGGGGCATGGAGGGATGGAGGCATGGAGCAAGCAATTAATAAAGCAAATGGGATAAAGTGTTAAAAAAATAGGTGAATTTGGGTAAAGAATACAGGAATGTTCTTTAGACTATTCTTTCCTTCCTTCCTTTCTTTTCTTTTCCTTTCCTTTCTTTCTCTCTCTCTTTCTCTCTCTCTCTTTCTCTCTTTCTCTCTTTCTTTCTCTCTTTCTCTCTTTCTCTCTTTCTCTCTCTCTCTCTTTCTTTCTTTCTTTCTTTCTTTCTTTCTTTCTTTCTTTCTTTCTTTCTTTCTTTCTTTCTTTCTTCCAGGGATTGAACTCAAGGACACTCAACCACTGAGCCCCATCCCCAGCCCTATTTTGTATTTTATTTAGAAACAGGGCCTCACTGAGTTGCTTAGTGCCTCACTATTGCTGAGGCTGGCTTTGAACTCTTAATCAGCCTCCCTAGCTGCTGGGATTACAGGTGTACCACTGAGCCCAGCTTACTTAGACTATTCTTGTTAGTTTTTGTAAGTTTGAAATTATTTCCAAATATATGTATTTTTTTTTAACTATAAAAGGTGAGCCAGGAGGCTGAGGTTGTAGCTCAGTGGTAGAGCACTTGCCTGGTGTGTGAGAGGTATTGGGTTCAATTCTCAACACTGCATATAAACAAACAAACAAACAAACAAACAAATAAATAAAATAGAGGTCCATCAATATCTAAAAAAAAATAAAAAAAAAGATGATCTGGTGCAGTGGCTCAGACTTTTAATCCAGGTGACACAGGAGGCTGAGGCAGGAAGATCACACAAGTTCAAGGTCAGCCTCAGCAACTTAGTGAGGCCCTAAGCAACTTAGTGAGATTGTTTCAAAATAAAAAAATAAAAAGGGCTGGGGATGTGGCTCAGTGGTTAAGCACCCTTGGGTTCAATCCCTGGTACCCCCCCCCCAAAAAAAAAAAGAAAAAGAAAGAAGTCAAGCCATATTTGAATGGGTTTAGCCTTCGAGAATTATTTTTTGCTACTTTACAAAAATACTTTGTTAAATTCTCAAATGAACATATACTTTAAATATAAAATATGTAGTACATGTAATATATATTAATGTAAAAGTACATAGTATATCTTTGGTTTGCAACTGTTTAGTTTAGAAACTTCAGAAAATATAAACAAGTGAAAAAAGAAAGTACGCCTGAAATGGGAACAGTCAAGAAAGAAAGAAAGAAGCGAATAGAGAAAGAAAGAAAAAAGGAAGAAAAGAGTAATCTGAATTTAATCGGCTTAGTCTGAAACAATGTACCACCTGGGCATTTTGTCTTCCGCATATTTCTTGTTCTTTTATAGAACTGTGTGTGTGAGATTGAAAAAGCATTCTAATCAGGTTTTTCCTTATTCCAGACAGGTCTGATGTACTGGCCTTTTGTACAGGTGAGTTTCAAACTCCTTGGAACCGAGGGCTGGGGTGTAGCTCCGTGGGAGGGGGCTTGCCTGGCGTGTCTGAAGTCTGGGGTTTGATCCCCAGGCTGCCAAAACAAAACCCCAAATAGACAAATAAACAAAACACTCAGAATGCCAACCCTGCCTCTGACTTGTGGAGCCCTTACAGACTCTCTCTGTTCCAGCTGACCAACTTCGGCCTGGTTCCCGTCCACTGGAGGACAGCTTACACTGGACTCTGTGGTTTCCTCTGGGCCACCTTCCTCTGCTTTTCCCAGCAGAGTGGCGATGGCACTTTGCAGTCGGCATTCGCCTTCCTTCACAGAAAAGAGGCTGATGTGGGAGGAAGGCGCCCAGGGAAGTGAGGAGGCAGGGCCCCCCTTAATGGGACTACCTTTTGTCCCCAAAGTGCACTGAGTTCCCTGCAGAGAAAGCGTTTCATTCATCAGGTCTGAGCTCCATTTTTGAAGAATCGCACTTCTGTACACCCAATTGCTTTTAAATGATCCATGGTTCCTTTAAATTTCATCCAGATCTTCTCCCCCAGTTCTACTCTGAAAATCCTGCTTCTTTAAAGCTTTTGCTTTCCTGGTATTTTGGCTAAAATTGACTACAGTGGCAAAAGGGCATTTTAGAATTATTAATATTTCTGTTCTAATATTTTAGTGCCTGTTGAGTTCAGAGACCCCGTGCTACTTGTTTATATCTCTATTTTAAAATCTCAGGTTGTCTTCTAAACACTTTTGGATCAGATTACCTTTTATATCAAATATAGTCCTGACAGTGCATTTCTACTTACACAGAACTCAACCAAGGAGAAGACTGAATACTCAGATTTCCCCTCTGAAATACTCTATAATAATTATTATGCTGATGTTTAAATTCTATAAGTACACTTTTATCATCAAAAAAATAGAGTATGATGAGCATTCCAAACAGTATTTTATTGATGTACTCTACTTTTATATCATAATATCTAAGTATATTTTTAGTTAATGTTTTTTTACTTTTGAGAATATTCATTGACTAAAACACCCCATTTYCTAGATATGTGAAATAAAATATTTGTCTTCTTAGTGAACTATATTGAATGAAAGTTCTAAAAAAACTAATAATTTTTCTTCTCTGAGAGGAGAAACTTGAGTCCATACTGTACCAGGGAAAATAGTTACCCCAAATCTCACACAGGTGTTTTGTTTTTTCTTCTTGAAAGCTCCCTGGGTCAACTTCAAGGTCTTGCTCATGCTAACAAGCACTGCTGAGCCATACCCAGCTCACTGATGTATTTTTAAGATTCAGTGCTTTAAAATTAATCTGTATACTTTAAAGTAGGTATGAGAAACTTGAGCCCGTCTTTCAGATTTATCCAGTTTGTCTAACCTCAACACCAGCAGGTTTAAAGATCATGTGACTAACTGGGTATGGTCATGTGGACGGTGTCCCAGTTATCCAGGAAGGTGAGGCAGGAGGACTCCTTGAGCCCAGTTTCAGCCACTTTCACTCAAGAGCTACCCCACAATTCTGTTGCTTCCAATGACCCGTTTCCCAATTTTCTAGATGTGAAGCCTTGAACTCTTTTTTTCTTTCTTTTTATTTTTGGTACTGGAGATTCAACCCAAGGTGTTTTACCACTGAGCCACATTCCCATCCATTTTTGTTTGTTTGTTTTTTATTGAGAGACAGGGTTTCACTAAGTTGCTTAGGGCCTTGCTAAGTTGCCCAGGCTGACCTTGAACTTGTGATTCTCCTGTCTTAGCCTCCTGAGTTGCTGGGCTTACAGGGTCTGCACCACCACACCTTGCCCCTGAACTCTTTTTTTTTTCCCCTTAAAACTCCTAATTTATCTTGAGAATTGATATTTAAGATCAACTTAAGAATGTATTTGTAAATTTTTAAATCTGTGATTTGTATAACTTGTAATATGTTTACATAATTCTTAAACATGTAACTTTTAAATATATAATTTATTTGAATTAATAGATGTTGATATATTTTACATTTGGACAATACTAAGAAAGTTTCTAGAAGGTTGAATTCTAAAACAATTTGTTATTTGCATTATTATACAACAGAAAAGCCATTTGTTAACACAAAGCAAATCGTGTCATCGAAAAAGTGTATCCAGGATAATTATAAAGTACTACACGTCAAAATTTTTGGACATCTAGTTTCCTGCATCTGCAGTCTCCAGAGATCTGACCCTTTCCATAAAATTGAAAAATGGAGTCTTGGTGCGGGGCTTGGGGTGTGGGAGGTGGTAGCTTTCTTTCTCTATGAATGGAGATGGGGTCTTGAAGGAGAAAGTATAGAGAAATAAGCATTTAGGGGCTGGGAGTGGGACTTGGTGGTCGAGCATTTGCCCAGCATTTGGCTGGGTTCGGTCCCTAGCACTGCAAAAATAAAAAAAGAAAAGAAAGGGAAAACAAGGGAAAAAAATATACGTAGTGTCTAACGCAGAGAGAAATTTCCACTGACCATTCCTCAACTTTCAAAAAAAATGTAGGTACTTTCATCCAGCTCACCTGTAATTTTTAATTAAAAATCATTCATAATTTGCACCTTATCAGTCTTTTTTGTAGGCAAATTAATAGAAGTCACAGGAGAGGTTGGGTATGTTTAAAATCTTCTAGCAAGTGTGACCGCCTTATCCTGCGACTTCCATATTTTTTCTCAAAATCTGTTCAGTTGGGTGATTTGGTGGATAGAGAAATTGATTATTTGTCTCTGTAATGTCAGTAAATTTGGTAGTTATGGATCACACTGGATTTACTTCAGGGGAAGGAAGCTTTGGGAAGATTTAATTATTACTAGATTTGCAATGATGCTGTTTGGGCCAGAACAAGAAACTGTTTAATGAATGAAAGAAATGAAACATACTGAAAGTTAGGGTTCAAAGGGGGAACATTCTCATTAATGACTGTAATTTTGGTTTTTAGTGAATCGAGGAAAAAATTATTCTATCTCTTTCGGATTAAAACCCTAAAAAGAAATTTTACTTCGGCATTTTGGGTTGTGTCTCAATAGGGCCTTCACGTTCACTGTGTAATTACACTTGATCAAATTAAATGTGGATAGTCTCCTTAATAGAGACAGATGACCGGGAATAATTTCTAACCCATGTGCCATCACTACATATTTTATTTGATTACTGTTTTTCTTCCAAAGTCCATCATCTTTTAGTATTCATTTGCAGCTATCCAAAAATATTTTTTGCTACATGGGTAATTTACTTGTAGTTCATTGAAATTTCATGTGAATTTTTTCAGAGTGTTTGCCAAAACAAATTATGGTCTAGAACAACCATAATATAGTTTAAGAGGCAGCTTTCATTTAAAATTAGGTTCATCTTCTGAGAGTATTAAAAAGTTAATGAATTTCTGTGCCTGAAGTTTTTGACTTTGGATTGACTTTATTTAATCTATTGTTACTCATGAGCTTTAGAGCTAAATTGCCGAAAATGCAAACTATTGAAATATTTTCATTTAATATCGCCGGCAGCCCATAAATGAAAAGGGAAATCTGGAGTTTAAAGATAAAGAGCATATGAAGAGATGTGAACAGAGGAAAATAATTAATAATATTTTTGGTACACATTCATTGAAAGCTTGTCTTTTTCTATTTTTGGTGTGTCTATCTTTCCTTAACTGAATATATATTTTTAAGAATTTTATTTTCCTTAACTGAATCTTTATTCACGCATCTCTTCCTTGCTCTGGGTGGACTCTCCACCAAAGCCCCCCCTCTCCAGGGCTGGAGGTGCGGCTCAGCATGGGTGAGTCCTGGGTTCTGTCCCCAGCACCCGCAAAGAAAACGCCCCAAACAAAAACAAAATCTAGATCACACACCTGTCTCCGTTGCCAGTACTTGGACCACTCGAACACTCCAGGGTGGTCGAATAATGTCCCTAAGGTCAGGGGTCAGTACCCACGTGGTGGGGACAACCACACATTAGAGAAGGTGGCACCCCCCTTCCCTCTCCTTCCTCTGGGTGCCCCCTATCTCTGGCTGTAGTGCTCTCTCTTTCAAATTAGTTCTCGCTTCTTTTTTCTTGCCTCTCAAAACTCCTGTTCTCTTTCCTTTGGCTGATTTCGGCTACATGTTCCAAAAGTAGTCTTATGAAACTATTTTACTGTGATGTGTAGAAAAGCCTTTCTATATTATTTTTTTTAATTTGTTCTTTTTAAAAATTTATGATAGTAGAGTATATTTTGACACATACATGCATGGAATATAACTTATTCTAACGAGGATCTCATCCTTGTGGTTAGATTTTATTTTGTTATTGCTAATACAACTTATCTTTGGATGGCTTTTCAGGAACTCTTTCTGTGGGGAGAGGGGAGGTTATATTTTTTGGCAAAAGACTCCTGGTACACTTTACATGATGCCATCCAATTTCTGTTGGATGAAAACCAGCCTGGCAAAGATCATTGCCATCATTGTGAATTTTTAGCAAAGTCTAGTCATTCTCTGTTGGCGTATCTGTCTTCCCTACCAGACCATGAGCTTGGAGGAAGAATATATTTCTTATTCATATTTGTATCTGAGGGGTTCTGCACAGGGTGGGCAGCGAGCAGAAACTCAGCAAGATTGTGAATGAATTTATGCAGTTTGTGGATTGTTTTTTCTGTCTAAAACTGAACGGATCACCCTTTCACTTTCATCTCCATCTGCAGACAGCTATACTGAGTTAATCTCTGTTCAGCCCTGACTTTCTCCAGCTGTAGCTCCCGGGGCCAGACAGTTGTTCTCTTGGAGGTGGAAATGGCTTGTGGGATTTGGATCCTCAGCCCTGCTTGCATGTATCCCTCAGAAGAGCAACTTCTCATGTTTCTCCCCATCTCTACAAGACCAGGGTGTTGGTCTTTAAAAGTTGAATGGAAGCTGGTTGCAGTGGCACATGCCTATAATCCCAGTGGCTCAGGAGGCTGAGACAGGAGGATCACAAGTTCAAAGCCAGCCTCAGCAGCTTAGGGAGGCCCTGTCTCAAAAAAAAAAAAAAAAAAAAAAAAAAGCGGGGAGAGGGCCTGGGATGTAGCCCAGTAGTTAAGCATCCCTGGGTTCAATCCTAAAAAAGAAGAGTTGAATGGAGCCGAACCTGGGTTCCATCCGCAGCATTCCAAAAATAAATAAAAACTAAAAGTTGGATGGAATGGTAGTGGGGTCTTCCCTAAACCACTAAATAGCCCTTGTGCATGTGTATTACTATTTAATAGTTCATGGTGCATACTAGGGCTTGTCTGAGTGATGACTGACAGATCACACCTGTTACACAATCCTTCCTGCGACCTCTGAAATCACAATAGTAGGTGCCTGCTTGTTCTTCCTCTTCTGCATTCACTCCATAGGACAAGAAAGTCCACATGACCTGAAAATGGAAATTGAGCCTGATAGCCAGACAGTGCCAAATAACAGAATTGACTGCATTTCCACATTGGGTTGCTAATGGATGGAGTGTGTGCGCTATGAATTTGTGCCTGTTGGGGACTGAGAACTGGTTCCTGTTAAGTGGCAAACCTTCTACTACTGCTGGAAGGCTACTGCAGGCTACCACAGTGCTATTCTTTACTTCTATACCAAGGTCAAATGCTTGGTATTTGACCTTGGTTCCTGCCATGTTGAATATTACCATTTAGTATTCATGATGAATGTTCTATTTGCTTACTTTCTAATACTTGTATCAGTGTCTTGTTCCTCTGAGCCACGTGGYCAGAACGTTCTTTTCCTATTTCAGGTGGGAAGCATTGTAAAAGCAACACTAGTTGCTTCATTTTTGAGTTTAAATTTTATGTATCACTTATGGATATTAAAATGTTGATGTAGTATGACTGTGTATGTAAAAAGTAAATGAATTTTAAGCAAATGATTGACT